GAACATTGGTCCTCTCTTCCATTGAGGACAGTAGCGTTACAGGGTTTTTATAACAGATTAAAAGCTGCTAAATAGTAACTAAGGCTAGGACCATCCGTGCAAACACTGGTTATTTATCTTCATTGTCTGTTTGCTGCTACAAGACATTGTGTTTCAGAGGACAGCTTACTAGCTGCACATTCTGTGAGCTGTGAAGGAATTAACGAATTTAGCCTCGTTTTCTTTTTTTTCTTCACAAGAAGGAAAAATACTAAATTGTTGCGGTTTTGCTTATGCTGCCCATCAGCAAAACCAACTTCTACCATTTGGAAAAATCAAAATGCATCTGTCGCAGTGCATGACACAAGGTCACAGAGTCAATTTAGTTAACCGGATCGGGTATTCCTGGAGTCTTAGGCATACAACTGTCTTAGCACAAGGAGGAGGCACTGAGAACCAGCAGAGTGAAAATAAAGGATGCACCATCTTCTGCAATATTAACAAATTCTCAGAATATGGAAAATTTAATACATTTCACATTGTAATCTTTGCAAGGAGATACATAAATTTTAATATGATCTCATTCTTGAGTTACTTTATTGCTCTGTTCAATTAAATAGTATTCAATGATTAACCACTTACAAGGATATTATATTTTATTCATACTCAATTGACTCCAGTCAAACTGCTCTGCTTTTTCCAGAAAAGATAACTAGTTCTAAGGAAAAATAGTTATTTCCTGTGTAAGGCCTAAGTATCAGCAAGGTAAAAGTAGCAACTAAATATAGCAACTTTATTTAAATATAATAAATACAGCAAGTATTATTTTTGCAGTTCACACATGGGGAGATTCAGGCTATCACATCATAACTGCTTACACCACTGATACAGGTTTAACTGCTAAGCAGCCTAAGGATGAGGACTGTCTCATGTAATGACTATTTCCATCAAAACTGTAGCAACCTGCCTGTTGCACTTTCTTGAGGCATTTTATTTTCAACTGTGTCCATTGTAAATTACTGCTACAGAACTAAAGATAAAGATCCTGGATCATCAGATTAAGTGGTGTAGGTCTACCGCTGAAATAGTCTTGTTTGTTTATGTGGTGTAGCAGGTTATTCCAGTACCAACTCACCTTCACATTTCATCCCTTAACATCTTAACTCTACTCATTCTTAGTGTAAGAAATAAGTAAAACCGATGACTCCTTGTCTTGGGCACTGACTTTGCCCAGAACACTTATGTCCAAAGATCACCCTCAGGCCTTTGCATCTCCTTGAATACGGCAGTTAAAGCAACGATTTCACTGCATCAAGATGTCAGTATCTGCAACTCAGCTTTCAAATGCTACCTGTTGCACCAAAGTAACCTGGTCACCCATGTTGGGTATCACAAGGTATTTGGCTTCATCATCACATTTTGCATCAGACAAAAATAAACCATTCAGCTCCGAAGTGCAGTTAACCACTTGGGTCAAAAAACCCATATCACCATGCTATCTAATGCTAACAGTACATCACTTATGTCTTCTCATTGAATAAAAGCTGCTTCTTTCAACCTCTCTTTTTTTTACAAACTTGCTGCCTCATATAAGCATTACCAACACCCAGTCTGTTTTCAATTGACATGAAACTGTTAATACAAGTAGATTTCTAGTTTGTAGGAACATTGTGATAGTATTTACTTACCTTTGCGTTGGAAATTTAAATAAAATTGCATGTATTATCATTGGTGAGACACTGGGAACTATGCAGACATGTTCACCAATCCAGACCAGGGGTACTGTGCTCCTGCACGAGCAGTGCATTATTCTCCCACGCACTGCTGTGCTCTCTTGCAAGGAACCAGGGAGCAAAGGCAAGGAGGCAGCAAAGTCTGCACCCTCTTGTAAGGAAGACATAAATTTGTGTGCTACACCCTACTGAAAGATGTTCCAGAGATTGCTGAGGAATCTAAATGCAGAAAGCCTGACAAAAATTATTGTAACTGAGAATCTAAGGCACAGAGAGATTAAAATATCTTGCCCAAAGCCTCTTCCAGAAGATCACACCAGAGGGAAATTGAATCTAGCTCTCACGAGTATCAAACACAAGACTTCTTTCCTTTTTTCTGTTTCCCTGAGGTACTAGAAAGTGCAAACCGTTTCCTTATCACCAGAAATTTCACAAAGCTTGGCCACTCTGATCACAACACTTAAAATTTTTAAGGACATACTATCCCTTGAACACATACTTGGCTTTCATTTAATTTAAGAAAAGCTGCACCTGCATACATCTGAACCATACACTGTTATATTTGAAACATTTTAAAACAGATATTCCACTTTATTATCCCTGCATTTAGCTCTATTACACATACAAAGAAAGAGATACTGCAAAACAAAACCAGCAACAATATCAAAGTATTAGGTATTCATGTCTGAGAAGGCACAGTATTAAGTGTTGTATGCAACATAACCTGACATTATCTAAAATGGGAAGAGGGTGTGAGAACATGACAGTGGTTAATACAACAGTCAGTGTAGTAGATAAACTGAATGCATAACTGTTGTTCAACAAGTCCTGCATGTGACAGCTAAGGATCTGGTAAGAAGTGGATTTCAACAGGTAATGAAAAAGCAATGTACCAGCCTTTAACTGCTGAGCTGAGTTCTGGAACTGGCTGCTACAGGAGATTGTGGAGGAAGACAGTGTATCAAGTGGTTCACAAAAGCATACAAAATTCAGAGAGGACAGACCCCCAACAGGATCTCATCCACTTCTTCTGGCAAATATACATTAAACTAGATATGTAGCTAGTGTGCATCTCAACAGTCCCCTGGAGCACCTGTATAGACAGATGTTCCCATGTACATGACATTTTAGCTCTACATACTGTGGAAGGAGTTCAATCTTCCTTGGGAATCCAGGCTTATATGGTTTTCAGGCAAAATTTCTGGAAAATTATGATGGGAATGGAATTCTTAAGGCAACTAAACCCACAAATGCAATGAAAACATTGCAAAGAGAGGTCCCTGGATCACATACAAACAAGGCTAAGCTCTGCAGCATCTATATACTGCTATTTTCCATAACTGGAAAATGTTCTTCCCACTAATTGCAATTATTTTCTATAGCACAGAAGTAAGCTCATGAGACAGGCTTTGCATGAGTGGCCCTAATTTGATAAGTATATTGTCACCTGATCTCTCTGTATAAAGAGCAGGGATGTGCCCTTTGCTATGAGTGCAGTATTAATTCTGTATGTGCTTACACTTCCAAAGTAATTATTCCAAAAGACTGGAGGAGGTTTTAAGAAGCACAAACATTTCACTTTTGCATAAGATTCTGGAACTTGCTTTTTTCTAGCATACAGAAAACCATCTCAATCCTCATTTTAGACTGCTGTCTTAATATTTACAGGCTTGAGACACAAGATTTCATTAGTTTCTCTATCATTAAGATCTGTTTCAATATTAAATAAGACAATCAGAAAGCTACTCATATAAGAAGACAACCCTGAGCCAAGACTCCAGGGATTGGTTTTATTTCAAGCTTTAAAGAGATATCAAAAAAAAAAAAGAAAATCAACAAGAAAACTAAAATACTCATAATAAAGTTAAAATAATTCAGCTTTGCCTCCTGGGTAACACTTTCCCACTTCCTATGGAAAGACTCACGCTAACTACCCTACATACATTCCTTATTTCTTTTCTGTATATGCTTGTCCTTCAATTTGTATGCCTCAAGACTTCTGCATACAATTTAAGTTAAACAGTAAAACTGGGATATATGCAGAGCCTTTATAATGACCATTTTCCAGTTGTGCTTGTCTATTTAAGTCTGTGAAAACACTTGCATCAATTCCAACAGTACTTTTGAAGTTTTATATAAAGTGAAGCGAAACACTAAACTTTTGGAGACCACAGAATGGTTCTCTAGAGAGAACTGTTCGCTAGGGATAACTACTATATGTATGCCACACAAGTTCAAAAACAGTAGGAAAAAAATTCCACAACCTGCTGGCTATCCTCCTGCTGATGCAGCCTGCCACACAGTTAATATGCATCACCATATTGGTTTCATGACAACTGATAGTCAACTTGTCAAAAAAATCTTCGTATCACCAGTTACAATGACTAGGCTACCATATTTTTAATTCTGAAATCTAAAAATATAAGTAAAACTCAACATAGGGAAAGGACACATTAAAAACATTTTTTTTTTCATTACTCTGACATAAATTTGCAAGTTTTTTATTATTGGATTTTTCAGCCATATTTAATGATTTATGCAAACTGTTTTTACAGAAAGGATGCACCAGTCCACTATCTCTGCTAATGACACGCCTTAGCTTCATAGAGGAAATTACCTATGTTCTCCACAAATCACCAGCTGAGAGGTGAAGCAGTGCCATTTAAGCCTATCATTTCATCAGGCTATGAACTCATTATAGGGCAGCATCTGAGTCAATACAACATCATTTTTTTCCTTTCCAAAATTACAAGAAGCAATTATTCACTCCTGCGTTAGCTTTCTCCTAATCTGAAGTTAACTTATTTCATAGAATCACAGATATTTGTCCTTTTTCTTAAAAGTGTCCCACTGGTTTGTCTGTTAAAAGCCAATGAAATGTTTCTTATTAAACAGTTACATTTAACATCGTAATCAACACGAAATTCTGAAGGAAAAAAAAATCTAATTTAAATTTCCTTTATATGCAAATAGACAATCTTTCAAAAAATCACATATAAAATATTATTCCTCAAATCTCATGATATAGCCATATAATATTTATATTATGTTTCACTAAACAACAACAGAATACCAAAACAACATTATGTAGCTTTTAAGCCACCTGGCAGTGAACAAAAAAAACCCCAAAACAACCCAAAACCTTTATATAACTTTAAATATAATCAGTAAATATAATAGAAGCCAAATCCAAAATCCACTGATGGAGGTCATGGGAGTCTTCCCATTAACTTCCATGTGCTTTGGGATAAATATGAGCAAGTAAAAGGAGTAGAAATTAAAACTTACCCATGAATTCAATTCCTAAATGGTCTGCTATACCCAAGAAAGCATGTAAAAGAAAGAAGAAAAAAGAGATAAAAATGTTAGAAATAGACTAAACTGCAAATTTCACCATTATCATCACTGGTAGCATTCAATATTTGTATGGCAGAGCTGCAGAATACCATGTTGGGTCAGGGTCCCATTGTGTGGGTACTGATCAAAAAGAAAAGCAGAACTCTGCTCTTCGAAGGGTAATCCTAAGACTTGAATATAGGACACTGAGCTGTCACAGAGAGAAGTGTACTTGGCAAAAGACGTGAACGCCTTTACTCACTGTATTTATATTTGACTTGAGTGTCTCAAGCCAGCTATCTATAGGAATTTCATTTTCTTTTTATCCTGAAACTCCCCTCTCAACATGCTAACTACTTACTTACTTACTTACTAAGTCATTACTTAGGTTCTTGCTTTCATTTTCCCTGACAGAGATCAAAACCTAAAGAGATGAATGGAAGGCTTTGCAGAGTGTTGCAGCTCTCACTACAGCACACTTGCACCCAATGTGATTGCAAAACTGCTATCTCTTGTGTAACAGACTTCAGGAAAGAGCAGCCATGTTCTCTACTTAGCCATCTGACTGATATGATGTAGTCATTTCAGCACATTTAGAACTGAAGCAAAAATGTTAACATTTTTAGAATATTGACTGTGAGATCAAAACATCCCATGTGAGATCAAAACATTCAGGACCCTTTTTCACATGACAAATTAGGGTATATATCTCTAACAGATGTTTTAGTGCAAAGTAGATTTAAATTTACATAAAACTTATTAATTTTTAAGTGTATAGAATGAATGTTTAAGTTGATAGGCAGTTACAGAATAAAAACCTTTCCATCCTGCAGGGACAGGGAAACAGAAAAAATGCTAACTGACTTTTCAGAACTGTGTAAGGGATAGTAGCTTCAAGTCCAAAATTAAACTGTGAAAGGCTGTTCAGAAAGCCTGCAAAATGCAGTTCTGTTTCACATGTGACGTTAAATAATTTGTTTTTCCTGGGGAGGTAATAATCTGCATTATAAAGAGCAAATAAGATTTTTTTCCCTTTAAAATATAATAAAAGCAAAATACTTCCATTGTGTCTATCTTCCTTTCAAGTTATAGTTACATTTCCTTAATACAGAACAGATTAATACATGATTTTGCCAAAGTTTTCAACAGCAGTGTATGCAGAGGAATGCAGTAGGGAAAGAGCAGGAGTGTTACAAGAAAGACAGAATAAGACTGATGTGTTGGCTCGTACAGGGAGCTAGGAGATACTACTGGAAGCTGTGTGAAACAGTCCCATTAACTAATGTACTGCAACCTTCAAAAGCCCACTTAAGAATGATACAGAAAAGTTAAAGGAAGATTTTCCAACATAAAAGAATAATTTTAAACTCATTATCTAATGAATTGTCAGCTCTGGTACCTGTGATGAGAATGTGAAATATCTGGGTTTCTGTTGAAAATGCTGGGAGTGATTTGCCTTTTGCAACCTTTGAATCCTCCCAGTAGAGGGCATTGAACACCAGCTTGCCCAGTTCACTCAGAATACAGAACTATGTAATAGTTGCTAAACTCTACATTTATTTTCATTCAGAAGACCCAATATGCATTTCAAAAGAAAAGAACATAGGATGATGATATGTGGTATAAATATCTTAGCAGCGTGATTTTAGGAAAGACATGTTATGCAAGTCTAGTGACACCCAAATGAATCTTTCTTTTTGGTATTAAATACATGACTCAGAATCATACATAGATGTATTCCACATTACAATCTTCTAATTCATCTTCTTGCATTCATGTACAAGCATCCCGTACAAACATCCCTGGTACATTTGACACAGGGATGCATTTTTTCTAAGAGCATCAGTTCAGAAATACCAAAACTGCATTCAATGTACTATATTCAGTGATTTGTAATTTGTTTTTTTATTCTTTAATTTTCTCTACCTGTGAAATCTGCGGACACTATCTGCATGAAATTCACATCTTGCATCCTTCTGTAGACTGGAACAAGATGCAGTCAACAACTGATTACTTTCAAAAATGTAACAGAGACTGAAGTACCATACTCCGCTCTCCAAGGAGCTACGGATATTCACACATTAATCAAGATCATTCAATATCATCTTTTTAAGTCAATCTAGAACAGCTGAAAAAACAATCCTCCTTTCCTAACTGGGCTAGCCAGTTTTCTACTTGCAGTCTGCAATCTCCTGAGTTCACCAACATAGTTGAAAGCCACTTTCTCAAAAAGTGCATAGCAAATACACCTTTCCTTTAAAAAGACGGAAAAAAGCATTTTAGCTCACCTTTGGGTGGCTCATATGTAAGTGACAGTGAAGGGTGTCTGTAGCCTCCCTGGCAAATGTATTCCACTGGAGAAAGTGGAAATATGGCAGGTTATTTATTTTAAATATCTCATGTGCCTGGAAAGCAACTTTAGCAACCACCATAATATATACTGCTGACAAAGTTGATTTAACCAGATTATGATGAAAGGATACCTAGTTGGATAAACCTGTACACTGAAATATCCAAGCTGCCAATTCATATCATTAACCATAGCTCAACAAGCTCACACAGCTATGTGAGAATAGAAAATAATAAAATTACAGTTCCTGCAGATTCAGCACGTGCTGGCACTGGTGCAGCCCTTGTACAATGGCAACAGTGTCCAAGCGTGGGAGCTGGCCTCTGTGCTCACCTATCTGTTTGGGAATGGATGCTGCACCAATGCCAGCAGTGGCAGAAGAGCCGTGGCTGGGAGGTGGCAAAGGCAGCTTGGCTGGAGGCCTGCTGGATGTACAATGGGAAACACCACAGGCGACAGCAGCGCCCCTGGGACTGTACATTGCCAGCAAGCCTTCCACACCATCAGGTATCATGCAAGCACCACTCAAATGCAATAAACCATGGCTGGTGGTTTGTCTTTTCCTTCCCTCCCCTCTTTTTAAAACTGCAAAAAGTCTGTAATGCAACCATTCTCCATGTTCTTCCCCTCGCTCCCTGGTTTGAGTGTCAGCCTCTGTGTTTAAAAGAGAAAAGGCATTCTGATCCCAGGAACAACAGCACTACTTGGGCTGCTCTGAGACTTCAGAAGCAAAAAGGAAACAGAAAAAAGAAAACCATATTAAGAACCTGAATGTACTTGCATTGTTCTCTTCCTTTCCCCCCTCGGTGCAGAAATTCAGTTGCATTCACAACTTATCAAAACCCTAACTTTGAAACTTGTTTTCCTTAAGAAAAATACGGCTCCCGCAGCAATGGTGTTTATCAAATACTCAGCATGTTGAATGGGGGACACTAGGCAGGGAAAGGTCATAGAAGAAATGTCACCAGTCATTAATCATACCCATGTTTTGGCTCTCAATGTTTTTATCATTTTAAGATGTCTATTCCACTAGCTACAGGAAAAAGATTAACCAACCAAAACAACAAAACACCACAAAACATGAACAAACCCAAACCCCATATATCTTAGCAGCTGAAAAAAAAAGGAGAGGAGACAACTGCTTCCAACCCCAAACCCTTACCTGAGCTAGCCCTGGACAAAGACTGCCTCCATGACCCACATACACCTTTTCAGAAGGCAGAAAGTGAATGCTAGCTGTCTTGGAGTACAGGCTTTACAGGGCAGTTTGCCACTTCCAGTAGAGGAGTGTCTGGATTCCCATACACATAAAGGGGTCAGAAAAATCCCTGCTGGAAACAGTGGCAAGCGAGTCCCCAGGGCTCCTAGGGCTGTTCTTCCCACCCTGTGCCCATCGCATGCGGGCGACAACGAAAGGTGGGATGAGGAGAAACACATGGAATAGGTTCTGATCATCACTGGGTTGCCTTCTGGTGATCAAACATCAATCTGGTGGTTACTCTCACAGTGCTGTGGCAAAAATAAATGTATTTTGGAGATGGGTTTTGTACCCTCTTAACAACAGCAAGAAACTCCCAGCAGGTCCATGTGAGAGACAAGCATGGCAGTGGGAACTGCACAGTAGAGGCAAAGGGGGGAAAGCAAGCTGTGGTGGTGACCTAAGACTGAATCAAACACTAAAATATAAGGTAATAACGAGGCAAAGGGGGGAAAGCAAGCTGTGGTGGTGACCTAAGACTGAATCAAACACTAAAATATAAGGTATTAACCCATGACATGCCACAGTGTAACAAAGAACTGCTGTGCTGCTATATAGCAGTAATACATAAATGATAAATTGCCTGCAGAGCACTTCCTTGGACACAGTGAGTGCAGTGCCAAGTAATTCACCATCAAGCAATGCAGTTTCTTTAAGGTCTCAGTTCAACAAAAATGCACATGAAAGCTGTTAATGTGCTGAAGAGTGGGTGCTGCTCCACAAGATGGGCTCATTAGCCAAATAAAGTGACTGTAATTTACTTTTGTTATTGCAATTTCTTCTTTCTTTCTGGTATTGTTATGTTCTTAGGAACTTAAGATATTGCTCAGGAAGAATACTCACTTTTATATTTTGTTTTATAAATATATCTGTATTTCGTTGTTGATGTGGGGAAAATACTGTGCCTTATGGTCCTTGCACTGTGTGAATTTGTTGCTAGTATCAAAGCCATTTTAATTTATACTTTATGAAAACATACACACCTGGGAATACCTGATAACAAGCACAAGAGAAGATAAATTTGCACTCGCTAAAGGATTAATTTATTAATGCTTCACAAAGAAAATGCAGCCTTGTGTCTGGACTGTGGTTTGTTAGGACTTTTTTTTTTTTAGTCAGAGAGTCATAGAATGGTTTGGATTGGAAAGGACCTTAAGATCACCTAGTTCCAACCCTCCTGCCATGAAGGGGCCTACAAGGACACCAGAGAGGGATTCTTCATCAGGGACTGTAGTGACAGGACAAGGGGGAATGAGTTTAAACTAAAACAGGGGAAGTTCAGGCTAGATATAAGAAGTTCTTTGCTGTGAGGGTGGTGAAGCACTGGAACAGGTTGCCCAAAGAAGTGGTAAATGCTCCATCCCTGGCAGT